AAGTCGTGAAGGTTTGCATGCACAAGCGGGCTTTTTTTTCTTTATCGAACAAAATGGCTACTTTTGGCCCCCAGGCAATAATGACAACCACAACTGCAGAAATGATTGAAAAGTATTGACTAGTCTCCTAGCTATCAATTTTCGAACGTGATTGGTCTTTATTAATACTCGAAAAGAGCAAAAATTCGTATTGCTACATCTAGCCTCTGTTTGGTGGACATTAAAATCAAATTTTTAGTAGATTTAAATAAAAGTTGATGAAATGTGTGGTTAAAAAGTTGTGGGTCCTATAAACTGTTTGATTAAAATTAATTGTTGACTTTTATTAGAGATTTTAATTGGATTTTAATCCAAACCAAACATGGGCCTACTGAAATGATGGGATTTGTATGGTTGAATGTTATTGAATTATTTATCCCTCCTTGTGTTCATCAATTTTTCACAGTTGAGTTTAAACAAATTTCTGGACTTCAGTACTTAAGTACCTTCACATTTTTAGTGAAGTCCAGATATCAGTTCCTGAGTGTTCGCTTTCAAGCATTTTCAAATGCATTGAACCAACTTTCTGTATTTATTCTTTTAATTTGAAAGCCTGGACCATGGCCTAAATGTAAAGGAAGTGAATCAGTGAAAAAGAGGGTCAATCCAAAAGTGCCGAAACAACAGCACAAAGTAATGTGCACATCACATGGTCCTGCAATCAAAACCACAGTTTCCATGTCTTGTTTTACAGACTAACAACTTTCACTCACCTTATCTTCCATTGTCTTCTTTCCTTTACGACGGTACACATAAAACCATACATACTTATGTATGAGTTTAGTGTATGTTCTATATGGCCTTGTACTTCATGTTATGTCATGGAAGTTTTTAAAGATAATTTGTAAAAGGTTCTAAACGATGGATGAGGCATTCATAAATACTATAGTCGTGCTTTTATTATGGTGGTCGTGATCGTCCTGATAAAGAGATTGAAAGTTACGTAGTTCGACCCTAACAGTACCTAGAGGGGGGTAAAGAGGTATATTATACGGAATTAAAAATATTTTTACGAATTAAATAGTAATAAGTCACTTTTTAATTCTTTTCTAGATGATTAAACATGCAAGTCATTTTAGTCCTAAATTTGAATACCGTAGTTTATATGATCAATCAATAAACAATAACAAAAGTAGTAAATCAACACCAGGATGATCACGGAGAAACCCAATTGAAAAAAACTCCGAGCACTTTGCCAGGCAATCCACTAAAAACAATTCAAACAACTTATAGTCTATCAGACTAGACGAACCGTACTATTTGATTTCTCGACTACACTCCTTACAACTATCTTTGGATCCCGTGCTCTCCCGCACCAATCCTTAACTGTTGTTGCCAAAACTCTCCGTGGAATCTGCAACCCTGTAGCACTCCTAACTTTGTGGAATCGTGTATTTTTCGTGGATCAACGAAGAACACCTTGTTCTTCACAGACTGGAACTCCAGTCAAATTTCCTTGATTTTCAGAACTCTGACCAGATGTAGATAAAAGGCAATTTGGTATTTGGATTATAAGAACGATGTTTTTCTCACCTCAACAATCAAAGTAGACGAAGGTTGAAAGATAAAATAAAATGAACCTCTCACGGATGAGGCTCTCTCAATGTTCAACCTCCCCAATTTTCGTACAGATGTGTTTTGGAATATATAGGTAGGTTAGAAAACGAATGGACCGGGTAAAAAAACTTTTAAATCGCGAAATAAAAATTTCCCGGACAACCACGTCCCTAGAGTGAGGGCTCAGCGACGGTCGAGCGACAGCATGTCGCTCGAGCGAAGGAGGGGTGACAGTCCAGCGACGATGTTTCTGCTTTTGTAGCTCAAGCCAAGCCTTGGCGACAGTCTAGCGAAAATCCGCGCCGTTTTCCTCTTTTTGCCATTCTCGAACCCTAGACCTAATAACTCTATTTTCAATTATTTGCACATTACTCCTTGACTTTTTAAACATAGTACAATTCAATCCTTATTGTTTACAGAATTGCCAAATACAAAACATCTAAAACATAACAGCATTCCTTCAACCTCCACCGGCATCTTGCTATAGCGATAATCAGCGCTGTTTTCCTCTTTTTTACATTCTCGAACCTTAGACATAATAACCATATTTTCAACTATTTGCACATTACTCCTTGTTTTTTTTAAACATAGTACAATTCAATCCTTTTATTTACAGAATTGTCAATTACAAAACATCTAAAACCTAACAGAGATAATCAAAGTTCCAACTTCGAGAGACAAATGAGAAATTTATTTATGGAAAAGTTACAATCCCCGCCAAGAAATGCCTTTATCTAGACTACTGAGACCAAAACCATTAGTTTAGTTGATTTCTTCGAAAGTATCAATGATGTAGAGATGAAATTTGACACCAAGGAAGAAGAAGCAGATATTCTCTTTTCTTGATATCATTCTCTCGAACAGATGCTGTGGAAAAGGTCACGATGTATAAAGCTTCACAGTGTGGTGCCAAGAAAAAAATTAAGTGAATAGAATGCTGCTGGTTCTTTGTATTTCTCCTAACTTTGGCAATACTTAATGCCCCACAACTGTCTGGTCCTTTACATTGCCACAGACGTTCTTATATCCTTTTTCAGTTTGTAAAGTATACGCACCAACGACCATGGTTATTTGAAGCTTAATTTGTCATATAAATGTTGGAAATGAACGGAGATGACTTGACTCAACGAGTGTGGAGCTGTTAAGATCATCTCCTTATTTTCTTGTTCGGTTGTGCTCGAAACTATGAGCTCAATATGATTGATATTATAGAAATAATCTCGTTAAATCAAGAAATATAACGGTGAATATTATGGAAATCGTTTGAACTTCATAATTTTAGCTATATATAACTCAGTCAGCTGTGTTATAGTAAGAAACTATATAGTAAGGACCTTGCCTACGCCAATCTAAAAGACCAACTTGTGGTCTTTAAGAAAGCAAAGCTCACTTGGGGGGAAGTCGCTTGCCCTTTAGGATTAAGGGAGGATCATAATTTGTAAGAAGACAGTTTTGCAAAGCTAAGATATATTTTTCCTTAGTAATAAGTTATCAACTGCTAAATATTTTTTTGAGTTGGTAAAGGATTTGAACTGACGAACAAATCTGAGCAAGCTTATGAATTTTGGTATATTTGGTTTATAGTTCCGTAGGACTCAATAGTAAAATAAACTAGATTTTATTTTCATATTACTGTTAAGAGCTGTCAAGTCTGCCTTATCAAACATGATATTAATGGATAAGCCATCGCCCATCAGTCACTAATTTAAACGCACTTCACTTCTTAACCTGAAATGCAATGGCTGGGGAGAGCAAAGATTCATTTTTTTTAAAGTAATCATGGGAAAGTTCTAGTGGAGACAGGGTGGGGCCTATAGCTCAGAAGATTAGAGCACATGGCTATGAACTACAGTATCGGGGGTTCAAATCCCTCACCCACAACTGGCCCAAAAGGGAAGTACCTTTCTCCAGGAAAATCATAATCACTTTTCAGTGAATATTTGGCCTCATAAGTTTCTTGAAGCGATGAGGTTGTTTGACTGGTAGGAAGAAAAATAGTTTTAAATGCTTTAGATTGAAGTGTACTTCAGTGAAATATTAATAACTTGTTTGCCAATATTTTTCATAGTATCACAATGCCAAGAATCAGGATAGCATATATAGTCTTTGAAATTATGTTGTTTCACTGTGAGCAATTAGGAATACACGCACCATTTATGGTGATTTATGAAATTGTGTAACATGTATTGATTCAAGAAATTGATTTGTACAAGCTAAATTGAGATGCTCAGACAGTGGGGTCATAGATTCATTTGGCAAAGCTCAATCCAACTCCTCCAGGATGCAGCTAGTAGTCAACAAACTTATGTCGAAGTTTCACTTTGGTTACCTAACTATTATTTTCCAACTCGGTCACTTAATTTCATTTTTGTCAATTATATATTGACGGAAGATCTAAAGTGACAGGCAGAAAAGCAAACATGGGCTTGGAAAAACTATCAGTCTGTCACTAACAATAAACAGTTGTACCCTTGTATGAAGTGAATCCAAATGCTGTTGTTATAAGAGTAAGATATTCACAGATCTAGCTAGTTTCAAGGCAAGAAATGGTAGAAATGATATTTCATCTTCATGATCTGGTCTTATAACCATTCAATAATTTGAAAAATGGAGAAGGCCTGAAAATTACATACTTTAGTTGTAGGGAAGGACAATGTCAAAAATTGAGTGCCAAAGATTACCTGGAAATTACAGTATTCAAAGAAGTAGAGACTAGAAAGGTTAACTTTTTTCCTGAAAAGGTGTTCATTATAGATGTCTGTGAAAGTTTTTTCTTCATATTTTGACTTCTTTTCATAATCTAAAAAGATGTTAATCTTGTTTTCTTTTACTTCCCTTTTATTAGTTTTGGCTAGTTTCAAGATTAGTATATCAAAAAAATGTTTCTTTCTGCTTTGTTACGGCTGAGATCTTTTGGACTCCTAATTAGCAGAGGCTTCGCTAAACTTGTGCAGCAGTGGACTTGACCCACTCTATAGCTCATGTTTTTTTTTTCATAACTTTTTGGCTTTCGCATTCTTGTTTTTGGTATGTTGTTATGAGCAGATAAGGGATCGGTTTTGGGTCTTAGTTATGGGTCGAATCATGATAAAGACGGTTCAATGGCCGTATAGTTTCCAAGTGGAAAGTTGTCTACTTGCAAAGTAGATGGAGTGGTGATTAAGCTCGTCTTCTGCCAATATACATCCAATGGCATAGTGCGATTAACACTGAATTCCTTATTCCGATTTGGAAATCGAAGATGGAATGGGGCTGACAGTTTGAAAGAAAACACTCATAAGCATACATATATAAATTGTATGTCTCTACAGTAACACACCAAGAAACTATTCCTAATTGACCACTAAGAGAAATTTAGCACTAGAATGGAATTTTTATTTCTTTCTCATGGGACATTGAAAAACTTAAATGCTGCAAACATCTAGTCTCTGTTGATAATTGGAAGCAGGGATTTCAGGCAATGAAGAAAATCCAGATGTATTTCTTGAATCAAAGAACACTTGGGACTTTTTGCAGTGAGCTATGGCTGCCTCAATTGAACCATCAATTTCTGTTGTACTGCTACTTCTCTTGCGGAAGTGAAACTCGGGAAAATCATTCAAATTAAGCGAGCAAGACGAGGATAAAGAAGAAGCACCAGATGAAGAATTAGACGAAGATGAAGATGAAGATGAGCACTTATTTTTTGTTGCTCCTGAGAACGAGGACCTCCTATGGACATAATTATCCTCATGAATCCCCTCCTTCTCAATGCTCTTCATTATAGTAGCTAGACTTGGATATGCTGCAGGTCCTTCAATATGTCCTAGTGGCTTCTTATTTTTGAACAAATTTCCAGGTTCTACCTTGCAAGCTGCAGCCTTGGCACAGGAGGACTCATCAGATTTACTAAACAAAGATTTCAGATATGCCTTCAACTTTTGACCAAGTATAGAATTCTTAAACAGCTTAAGCTTCTCAGACCAATATTTTTTGGGATGATTACTATGGATAAAACTGCTCAATTCAGTAGACCACTCGAAGAAATACTCGTCATTGGTGTGCAGTTCACAACTCACCCTGCAGGATTCTGATCGCGATATACTATCTCTTGATTCTTCTAGTGGAATGCTGGATGGTGCCTTCTCTTCTTCGAAAGCATATTTCGCTTTCGAGCTTTGGATAAGTAGTTTTTGGAGCATTCGTAAACGGGGAGAAAGATGGAGAGGCAAAAGTTTTCCTTTATAGAAGAGTTCATCAGCTGGGGAATTTTTAGTTTCTTTTGGAATGAAACACAATTGGAACTCAAATTCTCTGCTCTGTGGTGGAGAAGCGTTTGCTGAACAAGAAAACAAGTCCATGTCTATGTAGTCTTCATCTGAAGAATCATATGACGGAAGAGTTGAGGCCATTGATGCTTATGGGGAGCTCAAACTTAGTGAAGGCAGTGGAAAGGCAGAGCATCCCTTGAAGAAGGGAAAGTTCCAAGTGTAAAGAAAAAAAAAAGAATTGTCAGGCTATATGGAGAAAAATAATTTCCCTCTGAAAGAGAAATTTTTGCATGGTAGTGGAATACTTTTTTTTCTTTCAACCTACATAGATACATACAAGACACTAAAACAAATGATGGTCCACATGAGTTCACATGGCCTTGAGAAAAGTCAGCTTAGAGTTAACATTTTGTCTTACCAATAGCAGTCTTGCTTAGCTAGCCTCAAGTTTCTCAACTTTACCCTAATCATGTATGGTGACGACGGGACACTTTGATACATTTATTGCTCGACGTGGGTTTAATAAATACATCTGTGCGAGAGTTACGGAGATGTTGCTCTTAAACCTGTCACGTGTTCACATTTAGGGCCTCGTCTAGTCTACATGAACTAGTCATTTTGTCTATGAGTATGCCTTTGCCATGTATGACAATACTAAGGGTGTGTTTCATGAATATTATTGAGGAAATAATGTATTTTAAATAGTGATATGATGAGAAATATGTGATTAAAAAGTAAGAAAAAGTTATCTATACTGATATGGTCATTATAGACATCTCGAGCATGAGGACTGCCAGAATTCCCCATCCTCAATTATAGGAACCGTGTCCTCGGGGCTTGATAGTCCTCGGGATACCTCGAGCTCAGAACCCATGAATACCTGCAAAATCACAACAATAGTCCTCGGGATGTACGTGGTCGGGCATTTGCCTTCATCAACTTCACAAGGTACTCTATAATTGAACATTGATAGTCCTAGTCCCGTAAGGACTCCAACCATATCTAATTACCAATATCCAAGAAATCCTAGGACTTAAAGGAGTCTATCCTGAAACATGCTATGGATTAGATAAGGTGAGACTTCTAGTTTTAATCCAAGACTAACTCCTACAATAAGTCATTCCTAAAAATAAGGTGACGAGTCCTACTAGGAGCCCACTACTACCTAGCTCTATAAATATGGGGTCTAGGATCATTATTCAGGTATGTATTTACATATATTCTCATCATATATTTTCTCTATACCCTTTCTGACTTAAGTATCGAAGGGGCGACGAAGCCACGCCTCGATGCCTTTGTTTCAGGTACCGGAAGATCTCATTCGTGCTCATTCTCGATCGTCAAGCTTGGTAGCATCAATGGTGCCGTCTGTGGGAAACGCTACCAAAAATCATGGTGAATATGTAAGTGTTATGCCCTAAATCCAATCAACTTTGGACATAAACACTTTAAATATATATAATTGATGCATGTATGGCAATATCTATTATTTAATTGAATTAATATTCTAATAAATTAAATAATAGAATCCGTACATTCAAGT